TCCTGGAAGGTTTGAATTGTTCCTCACATCGCAGAACAAGTGTAGAACAGGATAGGATAATGCTGAGAGGACAACTGTAGTAAATTTGAGCCAAATCTCAGTGGAAACATCAGATGTGATAAGAACAGCCAGGCTAGTGCTGTGATTGAAAATGATTTCTTAAAAAGGGTTTGAACCCTGTAACTTGGTGAGTGCAATATAATTATTACAGATCGAAATGATGGCCATACCAGTGAAAATAAGAGCCCAGGATCATGGTCAAAAACGATGTGGACTTAAACAACAGTTGTACATCTGAACAACCATCATCTTTCTTTCGCAGCTGGAGCTTTCTTACATAAAAAGGCAACACACCAGCGCACACAATATACATTGTTTTGTGTGTTCCTTCCTGCTAACACCGCCTATGGTTTTCCTCAGGTCCGGCCCCTCCAGACTCATGGGTCACTCAGCCGTGGCCTACAAGGACGGTATGCTCCTTTTCGGGGGAGGCGAGAGCCAGAACTCTCCACAGAACTGCCTGTGGAGGTACAACTTCACCACGCAGACCTGGGGGCAGGTTGCCACACTCCCAGGCACTCCCAACCCCCCCGACAAGATTCACCACTGCTGTGTGGGGCTGGGTCCCAGCTACAAGTCCAACCCCGGCAGCCCCGACTCCAGCTTGGAACTGCAACCCAGGCTGCTGGATGGGAGGATGAGGCCTTTTAAGAACAAGTGCTTCCCCGCCCAGCTCACCTTCCTGGGATCCGAGGGAGGTATAGAGCTGGAGACCTTCGGCCCGGACCGGTGCTACGGTCACAAAACACTCACACAATCCTCAGAACTGGACAACAGCAAAGACGCGTTGACGGGGAAAGATGCGCTCCGGATTGGAAACTGTCTGACCTTTGAAAACAAGGCTTTCAGGAAACAGTGGAGCTGCACAGACGAGGACCTCCTGGATGAGGAGGTCGGGGACGTAGCCCAGAACCTGCCAGATCTGCTGCTGGTGCTGGGGGGAAGACCCTGCTCCAGACACTGTCCTATCTCCATATGGCAGATGACTCTGACAGACTCGTAACAGCCTAAAGAACAAACCTTTTCTCTGAATGAGAAGCAAAGCTCAGTGTTACATCGTCACCTAACCTTTGTTAGATTGTATATGTTTGAAGAGTTTACTGACACAAATATTTTTATAATCCTGTTACTTTTGTAACTTGAGTGTTGATGTTGTTATGCATTTATCACATACTTCTTATATGCAGAAATAAATCATCAGCAGCTGCAGTCATTAACAACTTCAGTAGTAGTATCACCTAAATTACACACGATGGCGCCAGAGCTCAGCGTTCAGCAGTATAACACAACCTTTCTGACTGAGTGACAGATATTTCATATTATCTTCAACAATAACAGAACAACAGAAACTGTACAGTGAAAACAAACAGTGAACAATAACTGCAGGAAGTTTGAGTGAAATGATGAATTTTGAGCAGATTGTAAATATATATATTTTACTGATATTTTTATGAACTTTATATAACATTTTCTGTCTGTATTATATTTGTAACCACTGTTCTAACCTATGACTGCAGGAATAAGGCTCAGTTATTGGTTACTGTTGGGGACATATGGGCCACAGTGCCGTAAATGTTCTGCTGCCAGAAATACTAAATTACCCCCTCAAAAAAATGCACTTCCTGTTGGAGCTTACTGAAAAGTTTGTTGGTTTTCCTCTTTTAATTTGTTGACAGTTCTAAAAAATATAAAAAGAAGCCTTTATCCTTCATGCTTGTTAAAGGGACAGTGGTGTCACCTGTGGTGTTATTTATCCGTACAGACTGTTTTGCTGTTTGGTTTTGCTTACCAGTCTTGAGCCTGCTGTTGGGTTCAGCCTTTGAATCGTGACATAACTCCTTCCAGCTCATCCTTTTAGCAAGAGAATAATTACACTGAGGGAAATATTCAAACCCAAGACCTTAAAGCGTTTATGTCTGCACCGTCTCACCACAGGAGATTCCGCTGCCCTGTGCATTGTTTCAGATCTGCTGGAATCTAAAATAAAGTTTGAATCTTTCTAAATAAACTCTGACTCTGTTGACATTGGGTCATGTAAACCTGATCTAGGAGAACGTGTGCTCTGTGGGTCCACCTGGAGGAAAGTAAACTAATCAGCTATTATGTAGCAGGCCTCTAATCCACCGCTGCTGCTGCTGCTTCACCTCGTTTGGCCTATTTACCCACATTATATTACACACACACACCTGCTCCTGAAAACTACCACAAATACTTCTACTGTATGCACACATATGGATCATATCAGGCAGTCATTCAATTAGTGTTTAGTCTCTTAAATAATGCAAAAATGTATCTGCGGCACACTACGGAGCCCCTTAAGGGACAGGGGGAGGACAAAAAAATGGTGCTATTTTTTGCTTTTTCTGCTCGCTCCTCGGTCTACCGTCATTCTGAATATGTGTCAGTCCCAGTGCTGTATTTAAAATGCACATGACTTTATGTTGCCTCTGTGTTACATACCCGCACCTTAATAACCCAATAAACAGACTTTACCAGAACAAAAGACTCATTCTCACAGGTGTTGGCATTAGTGTCACAGTTCAACCCAAGAGTGATTTTCCCTCTCACATCATTTTACAGAAAAAAACAACTTGAGTTGTTATAATCTCACTAATCTTAATCAGACAATAATAACGGTGTGTGTGTGTGTGTGTGTGTGCTTACAGATGAACCAGTTTAAAGTAGGGCTGCACTTTATTTATACTCTTTATTTGTTGAAATGTGCCTCCTTTATAGTCGTTACTTTTCAGAAATGAAAGAGAGCAGGTGATCAACAAGCAACAATTTTATGTTACTGTATATCCCTCCCACCCAGCAACAATAATAATAATAATAATAATAATAATAACAATGATGATAATGATAATAATGCAAAACATTAAAATAAGGAAAATAATTAATTCTGGTATATTCTTCCATTTCATGTCAAACAGATGAACAAGATTCATAATCTTACGTTTCATACATTTCATTAATCATGTTCTTCCATTCACTAGGTAGTGGTGGTTTCAGACATTTATTTATTTATTCTGCTTTTCTTAAAATGCTAAAAATGTGTTTATTATTTTGTTGAGAGAGCGGCTGTGGTGTTCGACCAAGCAATAGTTGTAGTCCAGTATTGCTGCACATTAACGGGTTTTAGAATTATAATTAATAGTTATTCTCTGTAAATTTGTAATTCACAAATGATCGTCATCGTTAATCGTTTTACAATATCTGTCAAAATAATGACAACATGATGTTTTCACCATATTACACCAGCAGTTTAAATTCTGCCTGAATGACATCTGTTAGTATTCTCAAGTACACTACACTATTACATAATATACATCTCCCCTGTATTGTACATATAGTCCATTTTAACATGCAAGACCAATCCGGCACTTTGTTATACAACATACGGTATTATCATCTATTGACCTTTATTATCTATTACTGGACGCTCATTGTACAGTGTGTGTACAGTGTGTACAGTGTGTATGTACAGTGTGTACAGTGTGTGTACAGTGTGTGTACTGTGTGTGTACAGTGTGTACATGTGTGTGTACAGTGTGTACAGTGTGTGTACAGTGTGTGTACAGTGTGTGTGTACTGTGTGTGTACAGTTGCTTTTAGTTTCAATTCTTTGCTAATTATTTTGATGTAATACATTTCTTTAAATCGGTTTTTTTTCGTGACATTGCTATTCAGTTATTTGAATCTCCCTGCAGTGTGTAGTGATAGGTTTATATCGGTAGATGGCGCTATTTAGTCGTTAATCAGCATCATAACCGACCATAAACTCACTGAAGTTCCAACTTTTATTTATTACTTCATCCAAAAAAATTTCATTTTTTTCATTTTTGACTTTAAATATTTGTATTTTTGCATTTAATTGGAAGTTATCTGTCTATAATTTGAAGGTTTTGGACGCCGGACTGACTATCATGTTTAGGTTGCCAATATAAAGTTTGATTTTCATGATCAGCATCGAAACTGTGAGCTCACATCGGAGTGACACGGGTCAAATAACCGTTCCCATAATGAAAGCTTGTTCTATGAGCGGAGTGAACCGTGGCTCTGGAGACTTAATCCCCTGTGGCCATTTGGTAGAAATCCCCACGTGGTTTCGACTCCTGTATAAAAACTTTGGGTGTGCGGAGCCCCTGTTGTCGTGATTGCAAAGGGAGAACAGGGTCTCAGTGAGCAGCATCTTGCAAGACGCACAGAGCTGGCCATCCACAGCGGCGCGCACCGGACACGGTTACCCAGGCGCACACACAAAGACGCGGGACCCTCCGAGCGTCGTTCCTCTCTGCAGCTGTAGAACTTTCTGCATGCTGTTTGAATGGGAAAGAGCGGACTGAACTCTTTTGGACACCGAGGGGGGGTTTATTGAGACTTATCGGCGGGTACTTGTCCTCGTTTGTTTTGGTAGATTACGCTGAACGCGGTGTGACAGGAGCTACACCGAGCGCGCCTCGCAGTCACAGAGATGAACTTTTGTGTTGTGCATTGCTGGATGATAACGAGCTGAATGCACAATGAGTGGAGCTCATTAGCCTCACGATTCCAGCAGCACTCTTTATGATTGGGAATACAAAGATTGCTCTGCCTCTCGGGATACCTTGAGGCGTCTCTCTCTCTCTCTCTTTGGAGCGCAACTGGATGTTCTCCCGGATTGTGAATTAAAATTAGCTTTAATTTCAGTGTGTGTGTTTCATACATTCACCCTTCTCTTCTGTAGCGTTTGGACTGTGATCTTAACTTTAGAAAAATGAGCATATACAGGCTGGCTTTGTCCTGCTTGGTGGCGTGCGTTCTCTCCGTGCGCTGCAGCTCGGTGACCGGGACCGAGACTCAGGGCTCGCCCCAGGAGTCGTGCGCGTCCTGCGGTCTGAGGGCGCCCGATCAGTCGGAGCGGGTGAACATAGACTTTTTGGAGGCGGTGAAGAGGCACATACTGAACCGGCTGCAGATGAGGGACAGACCCAACATCACGCACCCCATCCCGAAGGCTGCGATGGTGACGGCGCTGAGGAGGCTGCACGCCGGGAAAGTGCGAGAGGACGGCCGGGTGGAGATCCCCAGCTTTGACGGACAGGCTGCGTTCAACAACGAGGTTCAAGCGGAGAACTCTGAGATTATCAGCTTCGCCGAATCAGGTAATAATCAATAATTCATCACACACACATCCAAATCGACCCCTTGGTGAACCCAACCACCCTTTGACTTTATGTCAAATCAGCCTCATTCATAGATGGAGTTTGATTCTTTAAAGCTTATCGTGTTCATCTGACTAAGCAGCAGAGACAGAATAGATTGTATGGACAGAACAGTTGTTTTTTTAAAAGCCATAAACTAATTGGATCCAGTGCAGGCATCATTTTCATCATCTTCTTACATCACAAGCCCCCCCGAAGCCTGAAGCCAGTGCTTGGTGTTAAATCCTCCTGTTTTAGCCCGATGGAAATGAAAAAGAAATGAAACTAAAGACAGAGTCCTTAAATTACCCTCATGTGTTGTCTAGGGTATAAAAAGAACCTCTGAATCCAATTTCATCACTAAAGCTGTGCTCACACTCAATACTCCAATGTATAAAGCCCTCTTTTAAATACGGACAAAGTCCCTCAATTGGCCATTTATCCCTTCCTCTAAGAATGTGTATCTAACTAATTCTCAGAAGTCCAAAGAGAACACCCTTTCCCCTCTCTCTGCCTCTCTCTCTCTCTCTCACACACACACACACACACACCCCCACAGGTTCACACACACACACACACACACCTAAAATCATCTGCGCTTGACAGAATCCAATAATTGTCAGTTAGCACGGTGAGAATCACGTCTTTGACACAAACTGTTAGTTTAACAAAAAGAAAACATACAATTAAAGACACCAAAATAGGATGTCTTAAACACACACACACACACACACACACACACACACACCATTCTGCATTTTCCCATTGGCCCTGCCGGTACAATTAGCCTGAATGGACTGCTAGGTCCCGCCTTCCAATGGGAATGATCTGAGCAGCCTCATGACAAGGGAACAAAAGCCAGGCAATTATTATAAGAGCACTATGTGTTCCTGCTGAACCCAACATGTCAACGTTTAGCAGAAAAAAAAGCAAAGAAAACAAAAGAAATCAGAATAATGCATGAGACATTTGAGTGTGTGCAGGGTTGGACTCGGGGAGTGTGGGTGGAGGGGTATGCTGTTGGCAGAGGGGGGGTGATATTGTGTTTGTGTGCCCATATTGCAGCGTTGCAAAGAATGTTTTTGTCGTTCTAAAGGTTCGCTGGGCTGCTTTTGCTTCTTCTTCTTCTTCTACTTCTGTTTTTTTTTCTGGTTCTATTCTTCCTCACACCTTTGAGCCTTTGTGTGGCATTGTACCATGGAGCTGGCTTGGGTCCCTGCTCCCTAGACCCCGTCTGCCTCCTGGCCAGCTGGCTCACGCCCCCCAGATCGGATGCTGCCAGCCAGGGCATGGCTCAGAGGCAAGGTCTCCAGAAAGCTCTGAAGCCAGGGGAGCTTGTCCCCCAAGCATGAGGGAGCCTGAATTGCTGTTGTCACAGTTTAGGACAAGGCGGGTTTTTGGGGGGTGAGGTTGGCATATGTTTAGCCAACAGCGAGCCAGCAAATGGATGCGGATAGGGGTTTATGTGCGTGGTGTATGCGTGGAACAGTGAGGTCAGCTCGCGTCCGCTGCCTCCCCTTAGCACAGGGTTAACTGCGTGCTTGTCAGCCAGGGAGCCGGCTTCTTATCTCCGGTTGCGGTAGCACAGAGGTAAAAGGTCTGCCAAGCGTCCCCGGGCAGGTGAGGAAGACGATGCCAATCTCCCTTCTCCCCTGACATGGTCCCATGGGTCCTCACTGAGGGATTCGGTGTCCCGTATCCACGGGAGCGGAGCGGGGAACACAAGCAGGGAAGGAGGGAGGGCGAAAGAGAGAGGGGTCGAGGGAGAAGTTTAGATCGGCGCTTCTTGATTGCTCGCTATAGCCGTTCGGACCCAGTGAACTCGCGGCGAGTGGTCCAAGACACAGAATTAAGACTTCATTATGGGAGGTCATTAACTCCGGCCCGGTTCCTCCAGAGGATCGGGTTGGCAGGTTTACTTCAGGACACAACTCTTTCATGAGGAGCTGTCAGTCATTGCCATCCTGGACCCGGTCCAGACATTTTCCACGTTCACTCACAAGTGTGGGTTTCAGTCCTCAATGGGCCTGTCTGCCTCTGTATAGCTTGTGATCCTTTAAATGATTTATGCACCATTATTAAAAATGTCCCTATAGTAAAGCTTCAACAGCAACAGAGCCAGTGCCGCAGCGACTCAACCCTACCTCTCCTTCTCCCTCCCTCACCTCCTCGCCCTC